TACTCCAGCTACTTTAATACTTTGTGCTGAAGCACTATCGTTTCTATTATAAGTCTTTCGAGATCACAAAGCAAATAAAATCGAACAGACGCACGAGCAATATCACTTCGATTTTTCTGCACTTTGCTGACTCCACATGTGGCCAAGTGGATAAGCTTCAAAAAGCCAGGCTTCATTATCAATATCTGAGCATCGTAAAGGAACACCGACACAAGCAATAGCTCCTTCTGTTCTGTTTCAAGCAGATGCATATCCCTGTGAGAACTTCTAGGACAAGCGAAAACGATTTCAAAATTAAATGACTGAGATTACCATAGGAAATAGAATTTTTATTTTTTGACAACAGGGTAACAACTAACAGATTTACAATGATTCGCTAAAAACAGTCCAACAATTCTGAAAGAACAACAGAAAAATCAACAGAAATGAAAAATTTGCTCAAAGCGTTGTCACATCCATGGCGTCAGTCAATTTACTTGTACGCCGCTCTAAAGCAATGGTTTATGATAAATCACATAGCACCTGATATTACCTTGCTTCCTCGCTGCACGTTTGTTCTTCTTCAAGGTTTTCTTGATAACTCGATTCAACTGCACATTACCATCGATTACCAAGCTGGTAGGCAAAGGAATGGCTTCGCTGCTTTCGCGGTCTCGATCAACTTTCTTGCTTTTACCACTGCTGACTATCACAGCTGAAGTATCAAATGTGCTGATACTGACCTTACAATGCTCGATATTGATCAGTATGAAACATACGGTTGGAATCTACTTCCATTCCTCCTTCTACTTCTTCCTCCTCATCTTCGTTGGCTGAATTATATGGCACGAACGTCGCATCCATATCCATAGGAAGACCTGTAACGTAAAACTAAAGGTTATGTTAGACTAAAGCGTAGATACATACTTCAGACAGCATTAAAGCTTGTGAAAGGGTCAAAATGCAACGTTTCGCTTGGCATCTCTGCTCAACGAATGCTCTTCTTATGATTAAACTGGCAATGATTGAAAGAACGAGGGAAAAGAAATGTCCGATTTTTGTCACCCTTTCTATTAAACAAATGAGCCACTAGATATGACAAACCTTCGACCAATTGCTTCAAATCGTCATTCAGAGCATCGATGTCAAACTCTTTGCTAAA